ACCGGCATCACCTGCAACCCCAGCACTCACCCCCTCCCCATCCCTGAGAGCCCCCCCTGGTGCTGTGCTGGTCACCCCGCATCTGGCTGCGAACTCCTGGGGTCTCACACGGGCTGCAACCAGCTGGGTGCCCACAGCAGCCCCCTTGCTTCAACCCAAGAATTGAGTTTGCCCCCCCCACCCCTGACGGCCCCTCCCAGACCCCAGGGAGCCAGGCAGGGACAATATCTGGGGTGAAGGGCTGCAAGAATTGCTGCTCCCCAGGTGCCAAGTGTGGCGGAGGAGGGTTTTGGCAGAGCAGCCTCAGCCCACGAGTGCTGTCGGGGAGGAGTTGCTTTCCCAGGAGCAGACATAGGAGTGCAGGGCTCAGGGCCCTCAGCCTCCCCCTGGGGCTCCAGGGCAGCCTCCAGCTCTGCACAGCTCCATGCCACGGTCCCAGAGAAATGCCAGGTGGCATCAGCACCTTGAGGAGGGGTCGGGCTGGCTTTTCACCCCCAGCTCCAGCACACACGTGTGCACACACACGTGCTCGTGCCCTCACACACACCCCACACGGAGCCTTTGATTTCCCTTATCTGCCGCATCGCGGGAGGCAGCCAGCCCGCCAGGTTTGCTCCCTGACTCCGGGCAGATCCACACCCACAGGTTCCCCCTATCCTCCACCCCCGGGATGCCATCAATACCACCGCAGCCGTTCCCAGATAAACCCCAGGCTAACACCACCAGCGAGCTCCTGGCTCAGCACAGACGAGCTGCTGGCACGGAGCTGCCAGGGCTGCCAGCTGCAGACTCATCCCATCAGGCTTGGGCAAGCTGGGCTTGGACCAACGTGGCCAGAAAAACCCTCAGCAGCACTGGGTCCTCACCAGCTGCCTGCAGCCAGCCCAGCCGGGCGCTCACCCCTCTGCACTGAGCAGCTCCCACAAAGGCATGTGCCGAAACTTGGGAGCGGCTCAAGGCCCCGGGCTCTCTGCTCTCCATGTGCTGGAGCAAAAAAGCGTTTGGCACCACCTCCCACCACCCAGCTTGGGCTCCCTGGAGCCGGCTGCAGGCAGCCCCGGCGCTCTCAGACGCCCTGGTTCCCTTCCCCCCGGTGGGCAGGGTGCCCGGGGTGCCCGCGGGGCTCTCACCACAGGTTGCAGTTCTCCCGGTACGTGGCTCCCGTGGGGTAACTGCGGCCAGCACGGGCACAGCCTGAACGGGAAAAGGGAGAGCCCTGGTGAGCACGTGGCTGCACAGGGGGTCCTACCAGCACCCCCCATGGCTCCAGGGGTTGGAAATACCAAGAGGAAAATGAACACAGCCCTTAAAGCCACGCAGGTGCCTGGCTGCAGCTCGGCACCTCCAGGCTGATAATGGGGAGCAGCCCCGGGGTGCAGGGTGGGAGCAGAGCTGGCTCAGCACCCGGAGGGTTAACCAGGGTGGAGGGGGGGGCTGGCAGGCACAGCCTGTCGGGACAGGGATAAAGGGGCCAGTTGTACCCTGGAGCTGGCTCTGCTCTACAGGGACTTCTTAGAAAGCCTTGTGTGCTGCGCGGTGGGGGCTGCCCCTGCCCCCCTCACGCCCCCGGCTGCCCAGCCCACACCAGCTGCTGGGAGGGGTAAGTCAAGGCCAGCA